ATATAAATACATATACATGTATATATATGTATTCATATCTATGTACAAATACAAATATAAACATATATACTCCTATATATATATATACTTGTATTTATTTTAATTTTAAATTAAAAAAAAATCGATTTTTTTTTCATATTTTTCGGAATTTTTAAAAAAATATGACGTGGCATGCTGATGTGGCAAAAAATCTATGTGGCGTGCCACGTCAGCCGCCACGTGGCGTGCCACGTCAGCGGTTAACGGACACTTAACACCGTTTTCGGATTGTGTAGGAAATTGCAGTTAAATCGGGTAGTTCGTGTATCAATTTGGCACATTTGATAATTTGATGTAGTTTTTTGTCAAATTAAAAATTCGTGTAGAAAAATGTCACATTTTACAAAGTTGGTGTAGGAAAATGTCATTTTCCCTCCAAAATATAAATAAACCGCGCAGCGGATATCTACTAGTATTTTCAAAGAAAAGGTTTGGCCTTTGCAGAAGAAAAGGCGCCTAGCCAAATTCCAGTTAAACCCAAAACAAACGTGAGCCCTTAAACCGTTGGGGGCAAAAGTGAGAAGAAACGAAAACCCTAAATTTCTTTGTCTTCGCCCGACAAAAATGATCTCCGACCCTTTTCCGGCTCTAATTTCGATTCTTAATCTGATTTTTTCCTCGAATTTGATTTTTTCCTCGAAAGTTTATAGCTTTTATCCTTTTGATAATCTGTCACTGAGAAAATTTGGTAACAGTATCTCCAAATCGTGGCAATGGTGGTTCCTAAAGAACTTGAAGTTATGGTGAAGGAATCAGTTGCTGTATCTCCGTTGGCTACTCCTGTTCGTCTCCAGTTTCAAGTTCCTGATCTGACGATTCCAATTAGAGTGAGTTTTGTTTTTTCCTTATCTCGTTTTCTGCTTGGTTCCCGAGAAAATTCGAATTGTATTCTTGATTTTGATATGTGATTTGGATATGCAATTGATTCGAATTCAATGTGAGATGCTACTTTGATCTCTTTTTGCACCGATTAACGTCTTGGATTGAGGTGGTCGAGACATTGTTCTTAATGGATCGATGACATTGATAGACATCAACATCGCCTTAATCCCAAGTTTATCTGGGATAGACACGGCAAAGAATCATCTATCGTTTGTCATTTGTGAGTCGTTGTTGTCTCAGTTATGCTGTTTGTTTCAGGATTTTTTTCAATTCTAGAGAAGCCCGTGAATTTCTTAGCGGGGCTTTAGCGGGGGCCATGACGAAAGCTGTTCTTGCTCCATTAGAGACAATAAGGTTTGCATTGTCCCTTGTTATCTCCAGCTCTTGTTCATAAGCAGCGCTTTAGTGTCACCTCACGGGCATGTATTGAAATACAAGCTGATGTAGAACTTATACTTGAGACCTTAACCAATGTTGCGACGTGCAAAGTATTGCAGGACAAGAATGGTTGTTGGTGTTGGGTTCAAAAGCATTTCGGATATCTTTCTCGAGGTCATAGAGATGCAGGGTTGGCAAGGTCTTTGGGCAGGCAATGCAATTAATATGATTCGAATAATTCCCACACAAGCAATAAATGAAGCGTGCCATGACATCAGCACAAGAGAAGTTCATTCAGATTGAGTATCCGGAGATTAAATTGGGTGAAATTAGTTTCAGTCCTTCCCTGTCATAGATCTCGCCTGTTGCGGTGGCTGGCGCAGCTGCAGGTATTGCTAGTACGCTTGCATGCCATCCTCTCGAAGTTCTGAAGGTATGTATTTTATTTCTTTCGTGGACTTTGTATATCATATACAAACCCTTTCTGAAACATCATCACTATGTCTGTCTCTGTATTTGTTCTCTTCATAAACCCAAGAGAGTTCTTATGAAACATGACCACCAATGTCTCTCTTTCTATGTAAACCCTAAAGAATATTTATGAAACATGCCCATTTAACCTAAGTTTCTCGATCCTTTTCAGGATAGGTTGACTGTGAGCCCTGAATTGTACCCGAGCTTAAACATCTCAGTTGGAAAGATCTTCAGGGAGGATGGAATTGGTGGATTTTACGCCAGCTTATCACCTACACTAGTGGGGATGCTCCCTTTACAGCACTTGTTATTATTTCATGTATGACAAAATGAAGACCTCTTACTATAAATCTAAGAAGAAAAAGTCTTTAAATCGTCCGGAGATGCTCATTCTCGAATCTGTAGCGGGTGAACAAGAAACTTATCACTACGGTTTTCTCCCTACGTATTGGCATATTTATTTAGCTAGAATCTGGCAATTAAAACAGACCCGGATGGATTTCGTGATTGGAATCAGGCCTAACTGCAAGCATGACAAGTTTTCCGTTGGAAGTGGCAAGGACACGGCCGCTGATGGGAGCTCTGCAGGGAAAATGTGCACCTCACATGGCAGCCGCCTTACAGGAGATAGGGAGGGAAGAAGGTCTTATGGGATTGTACCGCGGCCAGGGAGCGAGTTGTCTGAAAGTCATGCCTTCCTCAGGGATCACTTGGATGTTTTATGAAGCCTGGAAGGATGTATTGCTTGCTGACAGCCGACTTCTATAACAAAACAACCCAACAAAGAGTTAAACTCAGTTACTTCTTAAGTCGTTTGTCGTGAGCCTGTGATTCGGTTATGTAAAGAATGGTGGCTTCGTTTTTGCATTGGATGTCTTCTTACCAACACCCCAAAGAAAAGTTCCGTTTTTTCTCTTCTTTTCGAATATACTCCAATTTCTCACCTTAACTTTATAAAATGATTTTTATGAGCGATTCTTGTAATTTCTGGTGATTTTTATAATTATATTTGAATTTTCAAGCACAGTGTTAAAACATATGAACCTTTACATTTTGTACATATTAGTAACCCGCGCATACTCAAGAAAGCATCATGGAAAATAGAACGTTGATGTCATGGTGAAGTATCTCTCACATGTAACTGACGTGGTTAGTTGTAGATATCATGATATGTTTCTATTTAACCGCGTCGTTACCGGTATTAATCTATCAATTGGTTAAAACTAAAAAGAAAGATATTCATTATATTTTATGTATTATCATAAAAAGGAAATTTGTATTTTATTTTCTTTTTGGTAATTTACATTTATTTATTTACGATTTGACAAACTTGCCTGACTATTTTTTTAAATCGCATGAATTCAACTCAAAAGATGAAAAAAAAATCATATGGGCTTTATAGGATATATTTGGGCCTATGACCCATCCAATAATATAAGCCCAACTCCATATCATCTCTCTCACTATGATAATAAGAAAACAGGGAGAAGGTTATTTTATCGTGAAGCCAAACAACTCATCGCCTTGTCGTCTAAAAATCCCCATTCCGCTTCTCCCTTTTGGTCTCTCTCCCTTCTAACCCTTAATTTTCCCAATTTACCCGCGAAAATAAGCTTTTCTTTGGGATTAATCCTTTAAATTTTTCAAAAATTTCAAATTCCCCTGAATCTCCCTCTCATTCCCATAGGTTTCTCTCTCCCCATCTCTCGATCTGGGTCTCTCTCCCGCTCCCTCGCTCTCGCGTTCTTGCGTTCTCAGGCGGTGATGGATCTGGCGGCGAGTGAAGGGCCGCTGAATCACGAATCTAATGATATAACTTCCATGGTTGTGGAGAATGAAGACGTGGTAGAGCCGGTGGTTCTGCCGCCGCCGGCGAAGAAGCTCCGGTTCAAAGAGGAGGTGAACAGAGTGGCGGAGATTGTGCTTGTGTTGTCGGCGATGGGGACGATGCGAGGAGGGAAAAGCCCAACGACGGTGGAGCTCGAGTTAATGTTGGAAGCTAGGTCGAAACTGGCGGAGATGTGCCAGGAGTTTAGTCCGAAGGATATTGTTGGTAGGGATGCTATTGGAGTTGTGATTGAGGATTTGGGTCTTAACGGTAAGCTTAAGGACCAGAGGTTAGGGTTCCGGGCTCCCAGATTGACAATTTCCGAGAAGGTCTCGCTTGGGAAGAGGAAGGTATGCATTTGTTTTCTGCTGTATTCTTCGATACGAGCTAGGTGATTTCGGCTTCATGACTTAAAGCCGAACTATGCTGATTATTTTGTGTTGTTAATCTGTCCAGTGAAACATAAACTTTGCCTTTTATCTGAAAATAATACAAATATGACTCTTCAGAATTCTGTGTTGTCGATTTGGTTACCAATTGTTTGCTGGATCAGTGAGGGAATTGGTGACAGTAATTATGTACAAGTTGATGATATAATATGCTCTTCGTTGATGCTTTCAGATGGAAGAAGCAAAAAAGTACACGGCAATGTCCGCGGGCACAGGGTATACATCTCATATGTCCCAGCAAACTGGTGGTGCGGCATCATCTCTCGGTCTTTCGAATTTGGATTCAGGAACACATACAGTACGAGTTATCGACAGATCAAACCCTCAGCCACCATCTTCAGGAGTCACCACAGGTCAGTGGCCTAGTAACGAATTCAAGATGTCCACTTCTTCCGCTCCTACGGTTGGAAGTCATTACATAAGGGATACATCAGGATTAGCGCAGCCCAGAGGAGAGAGGTCACAGATAAAGTCGGAGATGCTTAGTGGTGCTTCTCAGGGACCAGGTAACTTAGTATGTCTTTCCCTTTTGTTTCTTTAGATCTAGCAGAGTGATTAGTATTGTTTGCTCATGATTTGGAAAATAAATTAGTTTTAGTGATTGTTTGCTTGTTTTGTTATGTGGTTACATTCAATAGGTTTTTTGAAAATTATAATGTCCATTGCTAATGCCATTTTGATGCATATGTTAACCAATTGTAAAGCTTGAAGGTGGAAACTTTCCATGCTCAGAGTACTTGTAGAATCATTCATTGTTCTATTTTGGAATGTTTGGTGTCCTGGAGACAAAATTTTAGTGGTTTAAAAAATCTTATATAGGTAAGACCTTGTCAATTTCTTTTCCCCTTGTCTGTTTCGATTTGTTCTACACTTTGAGCAATTGGTCTTTGCTTTAGTGTTTTTAATAGGAATCTTTAGATTAATAATATTTTTGTTTATCTTACTTCTCTGGTGCTATCTTCGTAGTCTTGGTAATAGGTTACCCTGACTTTTATTTTTCTTAATACTACGTGTTCCAGCAACTTCTGCAAATTATTGGAATGCATCGACCTGGTCTGCTCAACCTCAGCCTGTCTTTACTGTCACTCCAGGAGCTGATAACAAGGTTCCTATTCAAAGTTCTGTCAGGGTACCAGACCAGAGCTTTAGGCTATTTATGTCTCAAACTCCGCCAGGTACTTTCACAGGCACAAATCAGCCGATGCAGGGGATGAATTATGGTCAGACTTCACCATTTGGGAACAGCCATGTGGAAATTGCTAAGATTATCCATAAAGTTTTGCATCCACGGGTTCAGAAAACCCCCTCTTGGAATCCTCCTTCAAGGGAATATATGAACAAAGCAATGACATGCCAAAACTGTCAAGCTACCATCAGTGAAGTAGAGACTGTGCTAATATGTGATGCTTGTGAGAAAGGATATCACTTGAAATGTCTACCAGCTAACAATCTGAAAGGGGTGCCTAAATCTGAATGGCATTGCTCAAGATGTGTGCAATTATACAGTGGCAAGTCTTTTCCTATCAAGTATGGCCGTGTCATGAGAAGTGCGAATATGCAAAAGATGCCTTCTACTACAGCTGGGCTTGAATTGCCGGCAGAGAAGAAAGTTGGAACAATGGATCCAAAGGTTAATCAACCGAAATCAATGGTGACTATGGGCCCCGGTATACAAAATTCTTCTGGTTTTGCTTCTGAGAAAAGCAATCCTTCGGCATCTTTGTCTCATTTTGAAACTGCTGGTACCAATGCAAATACAGATGCAAGAGCTGTAGTGACTGCTAGCCTTAAGGAAAATTCTACTAGTGGCAGTTCTGCAGCTCCAGTTTCATGTCCCGAAACTGCAAATTCAACAGCAACAGCATCTGCAGCTCCGAGTTCTTTGATGAACAACAATGGGCTTGTATCTACTGGTTGTGTACCAGCAGACAGTACGGGAAATAGTTCAACAGTACCAGTTGCTAACACAACTCTAAGTGCAACCTCAAACACAGTTGTGAGTTCAGTTACGAGTGTTGGCCACAGAACACAGGCTCCTACAGGTGGGGTTACTCGGGGAAAAAGCTCACAATCCTCTGGGACTGGTAATGCCAGCGTTGGTACATTGGGTGAAGCGGTTATTGGTACTTCTGCTGAGACTGCAAATGCAACTGAAGATGCAGCTTTGAGCGGGACAGTGAATGCTAGTACTGCGGGAAACGGTGAAGGGTGTAAAAATTCTTCCGAACCAAAACTTAATGTAGAGACTGTGAATGCTGGAACAACAAACGAAAACAATCAAGAATCAAGCAACCCTGTTTTTGAGAGTGAAGTTCCTGCAACTTTCCGGGATCAACCCACGAAAACTCTGGATACCCGTCCTGATCCCTCTGTTACCAAATCAATTGTGGTATTTGAAGAAAACTCGAAACCCAATGCAGAACCATCCATACCACAGGACGATTCAACTAGTCAGACAGAGAAATCGGTGTCTGAACCTCCTGCTGTGTCATCTGACTGCATCAGCAATCTTGATCATTTCCAAGACGCTCTGCAGAATAACGTGGAAAATCCGCTGGAAGACGAGAGACTTCATAAACCTGATGAGTATAAATCGGCTACTATCAATGAAGAAGCGTATAGACGTCTGTGATTCAGGTGAAATCAAAGGGAAACTTCGCACAAGAGGGGCCTTGACCTGCCAAAGCATTGCAAGAAAGTTATTGAAGAGGATGGTTTGATCCAATCTTTTATTTCAATAAACTTTATGAAGTTGCTGTATTGAATTTTTTTTAGTGTAGTGATCGTTTGTTTTTAGTGTAGCATTGGATTTAAAAGACTTGTGATTAGTTATACTACTTTGAAATATATCTCAATCCGACATCGTGTGATTTCTGCGCTTCACTTTTGAGCAACCAAGGATACTTCTCATGTAAATTCAGGTTAGACATTTCGGATTTTGTTTGGGTTTAGGTCGGTAATTTCTATAATATTTTTTTTAAACTTATATGGACCAAACTTCAAAAAGACGTTTAAAACGGTCTTTGTACTTCAACGATACACATGGCGTTCAATAAACAAAAAAAAAATCTTTTATTTGAAAATATATAGTATTGGAATTGTTGACGGCGACAAAACTCCGGTAATTCTAACGATTTCAGATAAGTATCTATAATAAAAAAATATTTTATCGAGGTTTGTGAAACACAATTTTCTTAGGTTCCATTTATGTTCCACCTCTAAAGTTTCAAGGCTATTGGAGCACGGTGAGCTCTCATGATACAACGACCGCGTATTCGGAAGAAACTTTCTAGAATACTAAACAAACTCAAAGAGAGATACGAGCAAAGATGTGAATGTTCTTTTTTTTCTCTAGAATGTGTTTTTTCTGTGTAGAATGAACTAACCCAAGAACCCTATTCATAGTAGGAGATAATCTCAAAATAAAATCAATCAGATTTTATTTTGATATTATCTCGATGATATTTATCATATTTGATAGATTTTCTGCAGATTTTATTCTGATTTGATTTTCAAAATCAATAAAAATTATTCTCTTAATATTTTGCAGATTTTCTATTAAAGTTTTTAGAACTTTCCACAGATCGTACTTCTCACGAGTTAGACCCATTTTAATTATATCAAATAAAACCAGATCCGACAATCTCTCACAAGAATCAAAATAAGGTCTTGAGTTAGGTGAACCTAAATGCATCTCATACAACTAATACATTGTATGCAAATGATGTGCAATGCAAAATTCGCTCATTGAGAGATTATTGTATCCGGAAAGGTAGTTTTATCTTTGAACCTTCCATAGTGAAATATTATCGGATGCACTTGCTAACAATGAATGCGTTGTCTTGAACTGTTCAACTTGTGTATACACCAAGACAACAACACCCTCTCTCTCTCGTTAGTCCATTTGTTGCGCGGATTATGACCGTGAGATAGCACCTGATAGATTTCATCAAGTACTCTAGAGAATTATCCCTTTTATCACTCTCATAGAAGCGGCCCACTTCATACTTGATATAGAAGATTTCTCTTGGAGAGTATCTCAATATACTCCATTCTCGTAGGAGATAAGAGAATCTTTAAGAGTATAAACTCAATCTTCCAATTTGTATCACTCTTATCATAGGAGTGTGAAGAGATATCACTCTCGAGTGATCCCATCGATCCCCACAATTCGGTTTTTCCATTGAACCAAACATTGGTTGGTTTGTCCAGATAGGTTGGGTTGTCATCATGGTGGTTCGTCATTCTATGGGCTTTAATTCCATTCTCCTCGATAATATTTTTACTTGATATCTGTTAAGGTCTTTGGTCAGAGGATCAACCAAATTATCTTTTGATCTCACAAAATCAATAGATGTGACTCCATCTGTCAGTAATTTTCTAACAAAGTTGTCATCTGCGGATGTGTCGCGACTTTTCCTTAGAATCATGGCTTTGTGCCCTTTCTATTGCAGACTGACTATCGCAATGTGTACAAATTCCAGGCACTGGTTTAGACCATATAGGAATATTGTCAAGAAAGTTTCGACAACCACTTAGCTTCTTCAGCAGCAAGGTCTAAACCTATGAATTTAGATTCCATAGTGGATATTGCAATACACATTTGCTTAGAAGATTTCTATGAAATAGCATCTCCACCAACAACGAATATATATCCACTTGTGGATTTATTCTCATTCGAATCTGAGATCTAATTCGCATCAGAATATCCTTCTAATACTGATGGTTATCTTGTGTAGTGCAGTCCATAATTCTCAGTGTACCTTAGATATCTAAGGAGTCTAATTATGACATTTCAATGATCAAAACTTGGATTGCTTGTATATATGCTAAGTCTATTCACGATATTAGCAATATCCGACTTTGTGCTATTCATAAGATGCATTAAGCTTTCTATAATTATGGAATATTTTAATTGTTGAACTCCCTCACCATGATGTATTTTCAAATGAGAATTAACATCAATTGGAGTTCTAACCTCGTAATTTTCATCTTTGTCAAATCTCTCTAAGATTTGTTTTATATAATGACTTTGGGATAACACATAACCGTTTTGTGTCTTGATAATTCTCATACCAAGTATTACATTTGATATTCCAAGTCTTTCATGTCAAAGTTATTTGATAACATAGTTTTCGTAGTTTTAATCACCTTATCACTACTACCAATGATGATCATATCATCCACGTAAAGATAGATAATCACAAATTCTGTCTCGTTACCTTTGACATATATGCACTTGATATGTGTGTACCGAGTCTAGAATTTATAACCCGATTCATAACTCAGCGCAAGGATACGGATCGTCGTAACATGGGATCAAACGCAAGGACCGATAGCTAAATCTAAACCCTAATCGAAACCAAATCAAAGCAAGCAAGTGGAAGTTATGGTAGAAATATATAGAATCAACTACAATTAAGATAAGAAAACAAATAAAAAACGTATGAACTATCAAGCAACGATGACCACGGGTGTCGGGACTGTATTCGCGTGTATGGGTATTTGTTAAGCATGCGAGAATAACGAAATCGTACTTGTATTCGGGAATCATCACGCAACAAAGATAGAGAATTCACCTCTCGGTCTACCAACTCACTACCTAGAAAAACTCGTCAATCTCTCGATCTATTCAAGTTCTCTTGATGTATGAAGAACGCTATCATCAATGCTAAATCGATTAAACCATATCTCTATGTGAATAATACGATTCATTAATCGATTTTGATCCAAAACTAAATCCATATCTCTATGTGATTCAGAATCTAAGATTATTGGTCAAGTGGTTAGCAAACACCAATAGAAAAAAGCATAAATCGATAAACCGAAACAAGCACAACGTCAAAATCCAAGTTAGGGTTCAAATATACCCAAAACACAAACGAATCCCTAATCCATAGTCATACATCTACTCGCGGTTCATAGAAAATAATAAAAAGTACAGAGAAAAAGAGATGAAAGAAGGGATAGAAAAACTCATGTCTATGTGTAGTCTCCACGATCGAATCTTCCTTCTTCTCCCTGAAATATCGTGAACTTCTATTCTTTTCTCACCAAAAGATCTCCAAAGTGAGTCTCTAAGTCTTCTCTCTTGTTCTAGGATGTGTCTAGGCCTTTTTTTATAATCCTAGGGTGGCTCAAAAGAGTCTTTTTCCCATTAGGACTCTAAAAAATCGCGGAATTAGATTTTTTTTGGTTTGATTCGGTTTAGATTTAAGCCGATCCGTTTAGACCTCTGAAATTTTAGGTTTCACGTTTTTGTCCATAACTTTCTACTCTGATGTCGGATTTGAGTGATTTTGGGATCTATGTTGCGAAGCTATTTAAATGCTCTTTCCAATTATATAAACCACGCATCATTTGGACTTATGTGGAGAAATTTATTGAGCTCGTAATACATATCTCTTCTGAACTTCATCTCTAAAACTCCAAAAGTGTTCCCGTTTTAGTCCAATCATCTTTGAAACCTGTAACTCTGCAAAACTAAAATGCAACTGGGTTTTGTGTCTGATGAGGTCGTCAACCTAGATGTGGAAGAGGAGCAGCCGAACGCAGATGGAACACAAGAAGGAGTTTCAGATGCACTTGGAAAGGAGGGAGAATTTGCTGAGCTTGCCATGCCTACACTGCTGGATCCACCACTCACAAGAGCTCGAGCACGCAATCTTCGAGCTAAAATCAACCTGTTCGTAGATCATTGGCTGATGGAGACGTCGGATCACTTGGCTGAAACCATAACTGTCCCAAGACATGAGTTGAGCTCGCTGAAGAAGACACATGACAAAGTGAAGACCATTTTGGAGATCACGTTGCCAACAACCTGAATGTGGGAGAATACCTGAACATCTTGGCTATTGGACACTTGAAACGTGCTGCAAAAATCACATTAAAGGCGGACCATAACTTAGCCAAGAATCTGCAACAATCTAACCGTTAGGAGCAATTGGAGGAGCCTTGATATGATGAGAATGGAGTTGACTCTCTTAAAGATCTCTTTTGGACGAAATTTGGAGCTAAATTGAAGACATTTCCTTACCAAGAAGCTGCTGCATCTTTCCTTTTCCTTTTTACACAATTTCTAGACATTTCCATTTTGCTATCTTTGTCAACTTTCCTTTTCTTTGCAGATTTCCTAGCCGTTGCCTTGCTGTTGTTTAGGCACGAGTTTCCTTTTGTTTTTTTGCTTCTCTTTTGCTATTTATTCCTTGCAATTTCGAGCACAAGGGTTCAGACTTGAATAAGAATTTTTCTGCATTGGTTTCTTTAGCTTTTGGTGTGTCCAATTTCGCTAATCTCCTTGCTTGGTGTGTCCGAGCATCCTTTGGTCTGTCCAAGGATTTCCCTATCAATTCCTTAGTCCATTCACGTCATCTTTTGGTTTAGAAGCAAAGATCGAGTGCCTTAGGGCCAGAGACTAACTTCTGAAACCTATCCACCATTCACAACCAAGAATCACCATCGATCGTGTGTTAAGCCCGAGTGTGTATCATTTTTGGTGTCAGAGCCCGGTTCAAGGACCAACGTGAGATAAGGTTTTCCTTCTATCATTTCAATTCGTTTTTAATCAGATTTACCCCTTTTTATTTTGAAGAAAACCGAAAAATACAAAAACAGTTCCACCGGTGAAGAGGTAACACGATATCTCTTTCTATTTCGTTTTACTTTGAGTTCATGTTCTCTTTTGATCTTTCTATTTACAAAACCTTGAGAAAAACAAAATAAAGAAGCTAGAATGTCGGGAGAAGGAGAGCCCAGCCACAACACGCTTGCACAAATTCTGCAAGACATACAAGAACGATTGGCACGACTAGAGGAGTTACCAAGGAGACCAGAACCTATTCGGGTCAACTTTCCTAGGCGTGAAGAACCTGTACGAGATCGAG